AAACTAATGCATTTTGACCTCATGGTTACAGTTTGTGGTGGGGGTTATGAGTGAGGTAGGGTATGCTTGCGCTTACAGAAACTTTGTATGCCAAATGTTGGAAGCCATGGATAGTGTCTGTGGCAAGTTTATGTAACTAACCATTATGTCCCAATCTTGACATCCAGGTTAATACTTCGTTTCATTTTATTTTTGTTCTGTTTTATAGGATTTCATTTATTATACCACGGCTTAGGCATTCACCCTGATATCGTAATGTGTTGTTGTCTTGTTCAATTGGCTCTCTGTTTTGTTGGGCAATTGGACTATATTGTCTCTTAGATATCTATTTATTGGCAGCATTTCTATCAACACTTGTATTCATCTATATCAACAAAGAAAAGACATTTTCTTGCCAAAATCATTTTTGTTTGTCCAAAAAAATGCTATCTTCCATTAATGTGGAATGTTAGTTCTTATACACTGTGGTACATGATTATAGTCCTGCAGAATAACTTGGAAATTCTCCTGGGGGTTCGTATAAAACCTTCTTCCAAAAACCAGGGTTAGGGTGAATTATTGGTTGTTTATCACACTTTTGATTAGACACAAAAATAACAAAATAAAAACTGGCTTTAAAGTTCCCTTTTTCTGCACCAACGAACAGACCACCTACTTTTCAAAATTCCAACTGTCAAAGGTTCTTTTACATGCACAGTAACAAATAGAATACACATCCGAACTACTATACTACAACCAATAACAGGACTACAATACAAATGATGTACAAATGTACTCTAGTACCTTTTTTTAGTCAAAAGATTCATATCAGAATCCCAGAACTCCATTTTGCAAAAGCCTTAATTGGCATAGGTCTCAGTGCCAAGGGGAGGAAATAGAGCATTGTAGGAACATTTTCTCCCTCTGTACTTTGGTGTTGGGTTTTGAGTATCAGTCAGCTAGGTCTCTTTGGATCAGGAAGCCAATGGAGGGCAGCAGAGAACATTTAAGACCAACCCATAGCTGGGTTGTTTTGAGACTAACAAATCAATGTTTCAATGAAGCAAATGATCTCATTAAATCATCCTATTAGCATGTCATAAAATCGCTTCATACATTTTTGCCTAATTCATTCAATAAAATTTGTGTTAAACTAAGTTTAAAGACCATCCTTAATACCGGTAATATCACATCAGTAGCTAATCTATTTCAGCTTTCAACATTATTGCCATTATGTTTTTTCTTAAAGATGGCTGACACCCAAAAAATATTTCCATTTCTGTCGAAACATCTCAACAAGAATAAACGGTTGATACCTTAATTACACAATGTTATTCTACTAATAAACAACTTATGACTTGACACATACATAACAGTTACGGTATTTAATCTTAATATAGCCTACATCCTAGGTAAAAAATAGACACGACTTAGTTCAAAAAGTTCACTTATATTTACATCCAAAAGTCTGCCTACTGTTACGTGAGCCCTTTTGGAATTAGGAACTGTTTAGCATACAGTTGCCACTTCTTCTTGTTCTTAGGACAACACACTTTAAAAAAAAGATTATGGCTCAACACTTTAAAGTACTATTAACATGAATATTGGCAAGCTTGCTTGTTCTTTGGACAACTGTGCATAGATAGATTGATGGACTGCAGTTTTTGATATGACGTCAAAATTCTAAGATGGATGTGATGACGTCAAGCTCATTTCCTGGCTCATATGGTACACTTGTAATTTCTTGAATCAATTTACAATTTTTAATTTTAAATGCAAGGACAAACAAAATATTTCTAATTATTTGGCTTACTGATGTGATCAAAGATATCAGTAACAGTATACTCATTGCAATAAATTTATAAATCAACTTTTTTTTAATCATTTGATCAATAGCAGTGGGATTGCGGGGGTTAAATGTGTACAAACGATTGGTTGTTGGCTTTAGGCCAAATACAATACGTATCTGATCATCATTGATCTATTTTACCTACGAATATTCTACGTGTTTGAAATTTAACCGCCCATCAATCAATCATTCTCGGTCTAACAAGTTTACACCATCTTTAAATAAACAAGTAAAACATTATAGAAAATGGAAAATTAATTAATCGTTGATTATTTTGCTACAAAAATTATTTCTAATCAAAATCAGATTGGCACTTATTAATTCCTTCAAATTGGCATCTGAATTATAAAACAGGAAATTCACTATATCCATCCCAAAAATTATTTGAAAATGAACTCTTAATAAGGCTTCATCTATTTCCTTTTCATTCCATTTTATGATTCCCATTCTACATATACCTCTAAGGTTTCTTACTCCATCATGATAAAAGTTATAATCAAGACACTATAAGACACAATTTCATTCGTTATATTAGTTAAATCACACAAACTTAAGCAAAACTTCTGTAACCTAGAAACATTTCTTGTTAATTCCACAGAAATACCAAAAATGTAAAAAAATCGAAATCCTTGATTAATTACACTGCATTCTCATTGATTCACCAAAACAATGTTTGCCTGTCAACATGGTTCAATCTGCCACAGAAACATACAGCCTAAACGAACTAATAAGCTTAGAGCTAAACTGACTTACAAAAAATCATAATGTCTCTCATAGTAAACAGTCAACAGACATAATAGTCATGCTCAGACAAAACAATACTTCAAAATAGTTGACAGTTAATCACCATATCTTCCAATCAAAATCATTGAAACATCTCACACACACAAAAATATATTTCACCTCAAGATATTGATGGATGGAAAGTTCAAAGTTTGTTTTAGTAAAAGTGAATCAGAGCAGACAACCACCTTGATCAAACAGAAGACAATCGGCCAATCATCTATCTGCTACTTTACAAAACACCTCTCAGGTACATCTTACATGAATTATCCAATTAAAAGGATGGTTAGAAGCGATTTTGTTGTAATAAGGTCATCCTAGGTCAGGTCTCTGCTATGACTAATGTTCTCTAATGCTATTAAACCATTACCTATTTAATTTCTATTTTAAATTACCTACATCTGCTGATGAATATTAATTAACCATGCATTGGTTTGTTAATTTCAATAATTCAAATCTTATATAAGGTAATTAAGTAACAGTTAGGTTACAAGTTTATTTTTCTTCTTAATGTAATTACTCAATTTCAAAAATTCAAATCTTAAAAAAGCTAATTAGGTTACAGTTACAAGGGTTTTTCCTTGACAAATTTTATACACTTCCACTCACTCATTAAATTACAAACGGAATCTGCATTTTAAAGGTGTTAATGAACTCAGTCAGACCCATGCATTCATGAGCAAATATTTTTGTTTAACTACTTTTTGCCAGCTAGACAATGAAAGCCTATAAAGTAAATTTAATAAAGTACAACTTCTCGATACAAGGATAAAAATTATCTGAGCTATTTTGAATCCATTACAAACTATACTGTGAAAGTTAAATCTATAAAAAGACTATCAGTCATAAAATTGTTCCATTCCTTTCCATATATACAAAGATATCATGAATTTAAAATTTCGCAGCATCCTGTGCAGACGATATAAACAAGTCAGTGCCACCTATAAGTGTTTGGTAAATTTTTTTAGATGGATCTCTTTTTAATACGATTAAGATACAGAGAATGCAATTATAAAAATTTACCAGCCAAATCTATTTGGGTCAATTTGAAATGCCTGTGTGTGTATAAGGCTATCTTGTTTCATGGAAGTCATGTTCAAGCAGCATCAGGTAATTCCAAGTCAGTACAAGAATTTTTGATGTGCTATAGCATTTGTATTCATTATAAACTTCAAAGATCATCTATTGCCGCAAAACACCCGAAACATGACAGTGTGGAAATGGTAAACCAGGTCTACATTCATCAATTGAACCATGATACTTGTTGATGCCATGATAAGACTTGTGGATGATCTTGTTACCATAACACATGCTTTAATTTATCGCCAAACAGATGGCTATGTTTAATAAACATGGACTATATTAAGCTGTCTTAATTGACTTGTTGATTTTTCCAAATGGACCACCTCAATTATATGTAGCCTCCATCCATGTTCTTTCATTCATGAATAGCTAATAGTTTACCTCCTGTACACAAGTATGAGATAAGATATACGCAGAAATAAAAAGTGCATTTTTGCTAAGTTTAAATAAACATTTCATTAAATTAAGAAATTTAAAATATGTAAGGTTCATTCCCACCAGGTCATTGTGGTCTGTCAGACTCATCTCTGTCTGTGAAGAGATTAAACTTTTTTTTAAAAAAAAGTTTGGCAGTGGGCTGCAATTACCAGCAAGGTTTTTAAGAATGAAAATTCAACAGCTGTCCTGGCTGCCATTTTTCCCCTCGAAGATTTTCTACAATTGCGTAGTAACAATCCTAATAGTTATACAAAATAGAAGTTTGTTAGTTGGGGTTTTTATTCATTTTTAATGAAGCAACTTGATGTGGTTTCTGGAAAGCAACATTAAATAACTGATAAAGCAATGATTATTCCAGAATTTGTAAGTAATCTATGGCCATGGTGGACTACTGCTAACAGAGTAGTCTCCCTTTAGTCTTCAGCAAAATGAAAAGTAAGATTGATAATGTGTATTTATTAATGTAGATATGTAATTGAAATCTGCATGTTAATTTATAAATATTTTTTAAATGAGATGTCAGAATTTAAAAGTTTTATATTGTTGTCAGTATCTTTATGTGGATGTAGTTTTGGGTGTGGTGGTCTTACTTTAAGTTCAATGATCTTTATTTTCTCAATTTTAATGCTTTATGATTGTTTGTTAATAATCTTATTTCATAATCAAATTAATAGACATTCAGTAATTACCTATCAGGTATTTATTTTTAATCTGTTTTTGAACATGAAAAATCAAATTGACTTGATATTTTTTAAAAAGTATCACTTTCAATATTTCCTGGACATAGGCTGAAGTAGGATCAACGTTTCTGTGTTATATATGTGTATGTTATAAATTAGTTAAATTTTTACAGAAGATTTTAACTTACGTGTCAGCTTCATCAGCATTTTCTATCACAAGAACATTTTGTGGTGGGGGAGGAAGGTAAGAGTTATTCCCCTCTAGAGATTCCCCATAATTTACAGGTGGCGATGGCAGTGGTAAATCGGATATGCTTCTTTCCACACGTGGAGGTGTCTTCATTTCTTCATCTTCGAAAGCTTGTTTAACGGGTGTTGAGGGAGCTTTATTTTCTTTATTGCCTTCCTCCATTACAGTTGGTTGTTCACAAATAGGGGAAACAACTCTGTTCTGATCTTCGAAAGATTGGTCAGAAGAATGAGGTGGAGTAGCTTGATGAGCTAAAGCTGGTTCACGTTTATACGACTGCGAAAAGTTGATTTTTGTTTTTGAGTGCATGATAGCCATGGTTGTTGAATTTAATGGCTGCTGCTGTTCTGAGAAACGTCGTGCTTGTTTGCGTAAATCAGCTGCATAGCTATCTTCTCTTGGTGAACTCTCCCACTGTGTCATCAACGATTTAAAATCAATCTTGCTGTTGTCAATGGCAACATTTTCATCTTGTAGATTTTGATCTTCTGCTGCAGGTTTTTTGGTGCCCTGCATGTTGTTGACGTTGAGTCTGGGTTGTTTGCGATAGTTACGAGGAGGAAGAGCTGGCGGCTTTTCATCAGGACTTAGTAACGGAGGTGGTGGAGGTGGACGTCTTCTGGCAGTAAATAAGTTTTGGTAGGTGGGTGAGGATACTAGATTGGTCTCCATACCACTGTAAAATCAAAATCAAATCATTAACAAATTACTTAAATACTCTCATTGCCTTCCATAATGTGGATCCCTTTAGGGGACAAACATATTTGGAAGTGTTTCAAATTCCCCGAATATATAAGTAAACAAAATACCTGTTGATCATATCCTCAAGAGATTATCTACAGGTTTGTTTCTCATAAACTAAGAAATAATGATGTACCAGCCTTGTTTTGTAGCAAAATCATGTGTTTATATATATATATATACCTTTGCTCGATGCTGTATTGTAGTTTCATTAATACCTATATTATGTTCCCCGGGGCAGCTTGCTACAAGGTTTGAACTATAGCTAAAGCAAACTGACTATATTATCTGTAACTGAGTATTATCTATCGACCATGAAGGTGTGCAGGCAACTAGAACATGTTAACCTCGTCATCATATATATATATATATATATACAGTAGGTAAAATGTAGACTATTTCCAGTCTACACATCACATCAATAGGTTCATTAACCCGAGACTAAAATAAATTAAAGAATGTACAATTCTCTTCATATGTATATTATATACAGAAACAGAATTCAGTAAATACAGCGACCCATTATCACAATACCTATTATCAATTACTGTATACAATTACGGTTCAATCAATTTCTATGATATGGTACGCCCTTCTTTGATATCAATCAATTTTGCAAATTTTCTAAACACTATGCTTATAGTAAATAAACCGAAAATTCAAACAGAATTATTTCTTTCAAACTATTCTAAATTATTCATATATTTATGATTCAGCATTCCATAAATCAATTTATTTAGCAACCATACATACGTGTGTGTGTATAAAGTTATTATTCACACTCTATCATATGTAATGAGATATATATATCATTTATGCTTGTCGATCAAGTTACAATTATTTACAATGAAACAACAAAATAATCATCGGTGTTCATGTTTTCATTTGTCTGAAAGATTTAACTCAAAATATTTTATCCATTTGGAAATGATCACCAAATAGTTTTACAGGGAATGCATAACTCTTTCAAGGTGCTTGCATCCAATTTTTCATTGGGTGACCATATTAAACACGACTGTAGGAAGAATTAAAATGCTGCAATGACTTGCAAAAATAGTTGCTTGGGACTAGAGTAAAGGGTTCAACAAGTCTTCCACACAGAATTAACCAGTTTTATACCCTGAAATATGGAGACGAGGTGGCTCAGTGAGCAAGACACTGGCTCACTAGCCTGGAGGTCTCAGGCTCGTTCCTGGCATTGGCCGAAAAAGTTCCTCATGATTTTCTGGCACATTTTCCTCGTCAGTGGTGCATGACTGAGGACCTGACAAAGGCAAAATTTTCCTCATAGCACACTGTATGGCATATGCTAGTCTTTATTAGCCCAGTCGGAGCAAAAAACCCATTTCATTTCATTGAAATATATTTGGGATTTTACCGTTGGAAATGAAGTTTTTCAATGACAACAAGAGCCTATTTGGTCGAAAATAATAAACAGGGGAGATTTATAAAGATTAAGTTTCAATCACTATGTCAAGACAGAAAAAAAGATTTCACATGTATATGTCAGACTTGACTAAAAGGAGAATGTTGACAGTGACAGTTGATTCCCTTTAACTTACCCATAACGACCCTCAAATTACCTCATCTATTCATGCTAACACTACAGGTAGATAAAGATAGGTAAAAGGTAAGTAAAGGTGAGAATGTCTGACGGATGACAAAGATAGTAAGAGAGGAAATACCTAACAGGTGAGATTAAAGATAAAAAGAGTTGATGAGCTCAGGTAACCTACTTTTATGTCTGGGTACTGTTTGTCTCCACAGGTAAATAAATAATTGCAATATTTTCTTTCTACAGGTGCAAATATATATTTATTTACTACTTACTTAACCGTCACAGAAAACCTGAATGGCCACTCTACATGACTAGGTCATTTTGGAACTAACACAATTGGATAAAATCTTTATTTCATTCATTCGTTCAAAGGAGCTGTTATTAAGAGAAACTGGAGAACTTGGAATATCCACGAGCTTGGAAGGCTACCATACTTTACAGCCATGTACTTGGGATCAAATATCTGTATGATAATGAACATTCCATCCAATTCATTTTTACAAAACAAATACATTTTGTGTTTTTATCCAAGCATAGCGTTTCTGTTCTTTGTTGCATGATGTAATAAGTTTATGAGTAAGTATTTGTAAATATGATATATATGTAAATAAATTTGTAAATGTTATAATACCTATTAACAATTATTTAAATATTTGTAAACAAAAATATACACAGGGAGAGGTTTAACATAGACTTGGTCCTCAAGCTCATCCATATATTTTTGGACTATCGTTTGTTCAGATTTTAAATAAAATTTACGCCTCACAAATAACATAATTTAGTAACAATTCTATTACTTCAACAAACCAATTCCAATATTGAGTTAATTTAGATTGTCAGCTGATGATACTTTATCAAACACAAACAATTAGCTGACTTGTAAAAACAATTATAACAGCAGATGTTCCACAGAAAAATCAAATTGAGATAGAGAGAGACAGAGAATTAAGAGAAGATGAAATAAATCAATTATTCATTGTCGATGACTATAACTCCTGGTTGCTTAAAGTCTTTCCTGTCTTTTTATGGTCCGATCACTATACTTGATTGCTTAAAGGATTTCTATCAACCGTTTTATGCTGACATCCTTAAGTGTGAAGAGAGGGAGAAATGAGATTTAACATTCACCTGACACAAACTAGGTCATTTCAGAACTAAGATATGGTTCAAGTTTATTTCAATAATTCGCTTGCAAGTAGGGGTCTTTAGCAGTTGGAGGAAACCGAAGGATCCTGAGAAAACTCATGTTGTTGGACAGACGACCCTACTCCTTGTCAAGTACAAGCAGGGAATCAAACCCATGCCACCTGACCCAATTTTTTAACGTGCCACTCAAACGTCCATCCTTTATAAGATTAATAGGGATATCCACCCTTATATCAGATATAACGACTTCATTTTACTTTAATAACTACGGTTCTATGGAAAACAATTACTGAATTTTAATTAAAGCTTCGTTTCTAGAATAGTTCCTATGTAGACCTATGATGATGGCAAACAAGAAAATTTATATTCTGAAAAAGAAACTATGACAAAGTACTTACGAGATTACAACTGCTGAGGTATCCTCACAATAATAACCACACCTAATCAATCTGCAAACTACCGCCATTACTTTATTAAACGGATCATTGAAAACCCCCAGAAAATCTTTTCTCCATCTTGATACAAGAAACCATAGTGCAAATATATGATGCAAATATTTGAGGTATAATAGACACGTGTCTGATGTCAGTTATGCGTCACCCTCGACATTGTCACTATTCTGACCAACCCGTCTGTAGATTGATAGTCAGACATTGATATATGGTGGCCGTAACAAAGCTTTAATAACTCACACAGTCTCTTCATCAACTCTTTAAATTCCTATAAAGATGACGATAATAATCTTCAATTTCCCCGGCATTCACCAATTCTGTACCGGCACTAATCTCATTGACCAATCACGATTGGGTAATTTCACACCCTGTTAACCAATCAATGGTAGTTTAACTAGAGATCACATGACTAACAGACAATTTTATTTCATTCTGTTTATGCTGTTTCTGGTAAGGATTTGTCTATAATTCAATTTCTAAATACTTCAGGAATTGAAAAACCTATTTTTTCCTTCATTATGTAGCCAATTAACTACATTGTGTTTTGTTATCTCCAGTCCTTGCTAACCTTAAAACAATATTCTGAAATTTAGATTAATTGGGCAAAAAAGTGATCATGGTAAAAAGGATCTCTAATGAGAATGTTCGTCATAATGATATCTTAAGGTGAAAGGAAGAAAAGGTTATTAAAACATCTTCAGCCGTGTTTCAAGTAGGGATTATGATCGACAAATCTTGTCTAATCCCTAAAGGATATGTTTGCCGTCAGATTTACCAATATTAGAAAGCCAATGATGAAGATGAAACATGTTGAACTCCCGGTCCTTAGTTTAGATGGTCACACAGTGAGTCACTTTCTTCTGTCACAGGACAGTAAACAAAAATGGAATTTATAACGCTAATGACGACATTCGAGTTTTTTTTTATCCAATTCACTAAAAGACCAGCGGGTTATCTTTTTTTTAAAGCTCTTATCGGCAAAACCTGCATATAAATTACTGTTTATGTCATATTCCTCCTTAGATAAAATCAATATTCACTGGCGTCAGATTTCGTTTTACTGTGAGAACAGGTGTCAGAGATTCCATATTCAAAGTAGTTCAGTATAAAACACAAAAAGTTTAATCTGCAATTTAACCATTATTAACTGGGTCTCATGTGCATAGGTGTGTACAACAAAATGTATTTAAATGATATTTCTGCGATGCATTTATGAAGTCTGCACGAGACTAATTTAGTTTCAAATTCCAAATAGAAGTGGATTTATTGGGTATTTAAGGTAATAAAATTGGAATTGGTCATCTTAAAGACTTGCTGCAGGGGGGATTGGCACCAACTTCCAGGAAATAAATAAAGTCAATCTACAATGATTGGATGTATAGTGAGATGTGTGAGTCATCTGTCAATCAATCTGTTTTATCTTATCTTGGTGAGATTAAAACAAGTTAGCGAGGTTTACAGTTCAATTACATCTAGCTGTCAGACAGTAAATACCCAGGATTAAACACACAGGGCAGGTGGTATAGTGTTACGTTGAGTAAAAAAAAACTATCTTGAAGTCAAATACCTATTTTTGATTTGGGTGACATAAGAAACAGGTAGTCAAGCACCAACTGTGGTCTAAAACTATAGACTCATGAGTCACATGATTTTAATATATATTCATATTTTCATCTTTTCATTTTTAATAAGTTGCAAATAGCCATACACCGACTGTGGTCTAAAACTATATGTTCTGAAGTATGGTCACAAGCTCTTAATATAAATTTATATTTTCAT